TGTGTCTCAGTCACACCTGTGTCCTCCCCACAGCTATGAGCTGCGTGTGATTATCTGGAACACGGACGACGTGATCCTTGATGATGTCAACCCAATAACGGGAGAGCCTTCCAGTGACATCTATGTGAAAAGGTCTGATGGAAGCCAGAGGGAGGCCAGAGCCTGGCTGTCCTTCTCCCTGCCCGGCCCCGCACCCTTGCTGCCTTCTCTGAACCTCTGCTCCTCCCTGCCTCAGCATGAGGTGCCTCACTCCAGTCCCCTGCATGGACTGCTGTACCCCCAAAGATGTTAGTCAAGTGTTGGTCCAGTTTGGCTCTTTGACTCTTCCCTTCCTGCTGCTCCATGGGGTTCAGCCCCTCCATCCTTCTGCTCTGCCTTTGGGGCTGGCTTGATGGAGGTAGGAGATAACTGACTTTCTCCTGCAGCTGGATAAAGGGTCTTGACCACGACAAGCAGGAGACAGATGTTCACTTTAACTCCTTGACCGGAGAGGGCAATTTCAACTGGAGGTTCATCTTCCGCTTCAACTATCTCCCAACTGAGAAGGAGATCACCTACAAGAAGAAGGACTCTGTCTTCTCTGTGGAGGAATCAGAGTTTCGGGAACCGGCTGTTCTGGTCCTCCAGGTCTGGGACTACGACAGGATTTCAGCTAATGACTTTCTAGGTATGGTGTGACCTGCTGGAAATGGGGTGACCTGCCCCTCGCCTTGCTGGAGTATTACAGCATTTCCCCCAGGGCCCAGCTCTCTGGGAAGGGACACCAGGAGCATCAGATCAAGCTCTTCAGCTCAGCAGTCACCTGGGCTGGTTTTTCACGTGAGCTATAGGCAGAGCCTGGAGATACACACCTGTCCTACACAGACAGGTTGGACTTGCATGCTTGTCCCACGGCCTTGGTGTCTTTTTCCAGGGCCTGTCATGCCACAGGATTTCCAGGTCCTGATTCCTCACAACCTTTCTGATAAACTTGCTTGTTTTCCCTGCTCTCACTTAGATCTGCAGATCCTTAAGACTTGGCCAAAGAGCAACTTTCCCAGGAGGTTACATTGTGGGCACAGGGACTGGCAGCTTTTGTGAGACTGTTTGCACTTGAGTTGCGGCATCCTGTCACTGGGGGCTCGGAGCTCCCTGGCTGCTCTTGTACTTCCCAGTAACCAGACCTGCTGAGCTGGGCATGCAGCAGGGCCTGGCGATGAAGCCAGGCTGGTGGCGATTCTGCCCAAATTATGCTAGCACAAATGCTACTGCTTCTCTCCTGCTGCCATCCCCAAGTTAGTAGCACTCCGTTCAATTGTCCCTCCCTTCTACAAACTTTGGCCTCCCCATTAAAAAGCGGCCCCTTTGCCCTGCTGTCTCTTTGGCAGGATAAACCCCTCATTATTCATCAACTCCCATGGTGTATTTAAAGGGCTTTACCTCCATGAGGTGCTTCCAATGGGGATTGGTTCAGCCATGCTACTCAGGCACTGAAGAAAGTGTTAGACAGCAATCCCAACGATTCCTGGCATGTACAATCTCAGGAACTTCTAGGCAGGAAGGGTCTTCTGCAGTCTTTATTGCAACCTCCTGCTCTGAGCAGGGCTAGATGCAACGCAGGTCAGGTTGCTCAGGGCCTTGTCTGGGTGAGTTTTGCATATCTCCAAGGATGGAGATCCCAGCACCCTTTTGGGCCCCTTTTCCTAGCTGTACCATTCTCATAATTCTCAATTTTTTTTACTTGCGGCAGCTTGTGTCCATTGCCTTACGTGCTTTTATCATCTGCTTCTGAAGAGAGTCTAACTCCATCTGCTCCATAGCTCACTTTAGGCTGTGGGAGATGCAGTAAGATCTCTCCCTTGACCTCTCTTCTCTGGGCTGAACACGCACGGGTCTCTCAACCCATCCTGCTATGGCACAAACTCTAGCCTTGGTCATCTCAGCCACTGGACTCTCTCTAGTTAGTTAACACCTTTCTTGTGTTGGGGGCCCAAAACTGGGCACTGTATCCAGATGCAGTCTCACCAGAGCTGAGCAGAGGAGAACACCCACATCCCTTGGGTGCTGGCTATGCTTTGGCCAGTACAGACCAGTACGTGATAAGACTGATTTGTTGCAAGGGCTCAGGGCAGAAGTGGGACAGGAGCTCCTTCCAAGGAGGACAGGGGCACAAGGCCAAGCAGGAAAATGAACTGAGGCTGTTTCAAATGTAAGACAGACTTGAAACCTTTAAAGAGTTTCCCAGATTTTATCTTTTTTTTATTGACATTTGCAGGAATGAGAGGGGAAGAGGAGCTTGGACATGTGAGGAGATCAGGGTGGGACATGGTAAAGGAGTGAAAATAACTGCTGTACCACATGCAAACCAAACTGGCCACATCAGAAACAAGACAAGACCTGTGGCTTCTGCTTCTTAGTCTCTAAATCGTGGGCTGGTTCTTTCTTATGCTGAACTTCAGGTTCTCCACCTGTAAATGTGCAGGACATTCTTCTAGATCATTGCAGCAGCTGGGACCTACTCATGGTGGTGGGAGGGTGGCTGAGACAGAAAGTCAAATGGTGTGTGGGGCTGAGCTCAGGATTTCACCATGAGCTCTCCTCTTCGCTGTGCCTGCAGGCTCCATCGAGCTGAAGCTGCATGACATGGTGCGGGCAGCCAAGAGCTCAGAGCATTGCACCATCAAGATGGCCAAGGAGAATGCAACACCTCGCTTCTCCATCTTCCGAAACAAGCGCATGAGGGGCTGGTGGCCCTTCATCAAACTCAAAGATCAAGAAGACGAGGAGAGAGAGGAGAGGGTGGACAAGCAGAAGAAGAAGAAAAAGAAGCGGAGCAGCTCAGTTAAACCAGAGGACGTGGAGTTCACCGACCCCAGCGGGAACAAGTACCTCCTGACGGTAAGGCAAGGTGCTGGCACAGGTGAGCAGAGCGCCAGTGCTTTGCCTCTCTCTTGACATGGCAACTTGTCCTGCATGCACATAACCTACAAAGGCAGCAATGACCCAGCTGCCCAGGACTTTGTGCAGGGTCCTGGAGACTTGTCCCATCTGCTGCAAATCCAGTACTTTATCTACCCAGAAGGGCCAGCTGCGGTGGCATGCAGGGAGTGTCCAACTTCATGTCTTCCTCTGAGCTTCCCATAGAGCAGTGCTCAGTGAGGGGAGCAAAGCGAGAGGCACATGGCTCCCCATCAACCAGACAGGACAGCAGCAAAAGCTTGTCCTAGGGTCTCTGCCGGCCCCGGACAGGAAGGTGCCAACTGTCCCAGGGCAGACTCGCTGCTGGTGGCCCTGCTAGTGGACCACTGTTTGTCCCCAAGGGTGGGTTTTGTTTGGTGCCAGTGTGGGAGGCTGCAGACAAATTCAGATAGCTGGGGAGTGTGTTACAATACGATACCTTGTCTGCAAAACGGTTTCTGCCCAGGCCACTGGTTTCTGCTGGCTGCAAAGTGAGAGACTCTGGAGCTAATGCCTGGAGAGAAAAGTTAATTGCTCTGAGCATTTTTAAGTGGAACTGGGAGAAAAATATCCAGTCCTGGCAGGGCGTTTGGTCAGCAGGCTGGTCTGTGAAGCAACACGTGTGGCTGTGGCTCAGGCATGTTCCCCCTCCAGGGTAAGGTGGAAGCGGAGTTCCAGCTGCTGACTGTGGAGGAGGCTGAGAAAAGTCCTGTTGGTTTGGGCCGAAAAGAGCCTGAACCCCTGGAAAAGCCCAAGTGAGTATCTGTGTTATCACCTTTAACGTGGACGGACAGTGCTGTGATTTCAGCAGCTGTTTGCGTGGGGACAGGGAGCATCTGCTTGTCAGGAAGCTGAGAGCAATCAGTGAGACCCTGGGTGGTGGGGTCTGCAGGACCGGGGCTGCTAGGGCTTCCCAGAGCTCGAGTGGGTCCAGCAAGATTTGTGGCTGCAGCATCTGGGCCAGGGCTGGTGTCAGTGAGGTACTCAAGGCAGCTGTGCCATAACATTGCTTGTAGGGGAAGGGCAGCTCTGGTTTAACCATGTGAACGCGCCCATTAGCCACATGGATGCAGAACAGCTCTGCGGGGGCTGTCCTGAGGCTCAGGTCCTGTTGTCTCCAGTGCTTTCGCAGGCACCATAGTTACTGCAGCCCCAAGAATGATCTTGTCTGGAAGCAGCAGGAAGAACTGGCAACCTATGAGGGTGGCAGGGCACCAAAGCAGAGGGGCCAGCGTGCTGCTCTGTGGCTTGAGCCTGTGCTTATCTATCCTTCCCTTCCTGTTCCAGCCGGCCAAAAACGTCTTTCAACTGGTTTGTGAATCCCATGAAGACCTTTGTGTTCTTTATCTGGAAGCGGTACAAGAAATACATCATTGTGCTGTTCATTGTCGCTGTTCTGACCATCTTCCTGGTTCTTTTGATCTACACCATGCCTGGCTACATCAGTGAGAAGATCATCAATGGATAAATGCTCTCCAGCACAGGTCTACTCAAAGACAGGGGTGATTATTGCAGGATTCAAGACTGGACCAGAAAGTTTAAGGCAATCCTGTGGGTGCAGAGGCAACCTTCAGAGTGCGAGACCTGCAGAAGTGGCCTCCTTTTGGGAAGTCATGTTTCATGCTAAGTACCCATGAGATGCTAAGAAACCAAGTAACCAACCTACTAAATAAGGCAAACTCCTTGAAGGACAGTTGCAGCTTTGTGAAAAAAATTGTTCTTTGTGTGACTGGTGTGGGAGGTTGGGAAAACGGGGTCTGCTGCGGCTGTCCCCACAGACATGGCAGCTGAAACCAGCTCTTGCCATTGAGAGTGATTCTGGCAGAGATGGGGACATACAGAGCCATCCATGCCCCAGCTTGACAACATTTGGCACTTCCCAGGTCTTTGCCTGAAGAATTCAAAACATATTGTACAGGGGGAAGGCAGGTCTGGTGTAGGGCCCTGGTGGAGGCAGGACCTGGAAGACCTTTGAATGGGGCTCCCTAGGGAGAAGGACGACAGAGCCAAGGTAGCCATGAGCTTCCTGCCGTGCCAAGAGCACAGGAACAACTCTTGGAGTTAGAGTCTGCTTTGGACGTGGTAGCACTCCCCAGGACACCGACTTTCTGGTTGTCACTCCTTACAAGCTGCTTAACAGCTTTTCCTGCATGTGCTGGGTTGGATTCAGGCTTGCTTCAACCTTCATTTTGGCTCTTCATTTCCACAGGAATAAAAACTGCTTGACTGCTCTCTCTGATGGTGCTTGTGTTTTGTAGCTGCTTTCCAGAGCTGGGGGCTAGGCTGCCGCAGGCAGTCCTCCCTGACGCCCCTTTGCCCTTCCTCCCAGGTAGCACAGCACTGGGACATCAGCATGGGGTTGTCAGCATGAATCTGTATTGTGGTGTTGGGCTGATGTAAATTAAATGAGACTTGTTCTCGACATGGTGTCTGATGCCCCAGGGTTCCCATCTTCTCTGCACAGTCAAGCCCTGACATGATCTGAGCTCAAGAGATGCTTCACCCTGAGTTTTGACGGGACAGATTCCTTCTGAGGGGTCTCATCCTGGTGCAGGAGATGATGCTTAGAGGGACCATTGCATTTCCAGAGAAATTAACTGACAATGGGATTTTATAGTGAAGATGGCTGCCTGATTGTCTTTTGAAGGGCACAGGAATAGAGCAAGTTTTGGGGAGAAAACTAGCTGGGCAGAGCCCGGCAGGCAGGTAAGGAGCAGGTGAGGACCCTGACTGGACCTGAAACCAGGTGTGAGTGTGGGGCAGACATGGAGCTCCCCGAGGGGGACCGGAGTTCAGCTGTTGGATGAGAGCCCTAGAGGGGCAAAGGGGGAGACCTCCCTCTCCCCCCAGGGCACCCTTGAGCTGCAGGGGGGCAGAAACAGGCTGCAAACAGCTCAGGCCCTGTAGCACCCGTGTGGGGCTAGAGCCGGGCCCTGGGGTGCCACAGTACTGCTCCCAGCGCGGCATCACCCCCAGCTTTTCTGCAGGGCCTGCCCAGGGGGATGTTGCCTTCGCCAACGGTGCCCAGTGCACTCCAGCAGTGACCAGTGCATCCCAGCACACCTGGTGCACTTCAGCGGTGACTGGTCCATGCCGGCAAGCTCAGTGCACCCCAGCACACCCAGTGCCCATCCCCAGGCAGCTCCTTGGTTCTTGCAGCCATGCTCGGCCATATTTTCCACTGCACCACCAGGCTGGGGCTCCCTCTGACTCAAAAGTGTGCCTGCCACCGGCTTCCTCAAAATATTTCAGCTTGTAACTGCAGGATTTGTAGCTGCGCTGCTGTGTGCCTGGGTGTGCAGGTGTGTGTCAGTGTGTGCGCACTGCAGGGGCAGGTGTGTCTCTGTTGGGGATGTGGGTGTGCAAGGCGAGGGGCTCCCTCCTGCTCTCGCCGCTAGCAGGCGCGTGACCCCAGGCCCCTGCCCCGCCCCGGCGCGACTGCGG